CGAGCTGTGCACCTGGGGCAAGCTCAGCGCCATCCAGTGCAACTGCGGCATCGAGTCGACCCTGGATGCCTGCATACAGCAGGTGTCCACCTGGGAGCGCCAGGAGCGGCGCAAGCGGGCGGCGGCGGCGGCCGCGGGCGGCGGCGGCGGCGCCGGCGCCGGCTGCGGCGCCCCGCTCAAGTCGCGCATCCCCTCCTGGATGCACCTGCCCTCCGCGGTGGCCAAGAGCGCCAGCCAGGACTCGCTGGCGGGGTGAGCGGGCGGCGGGTTGAGAGCGCGGGGCGCCTGCCTGCCTGCCTGCCTGCCTGCCTGCCTGCGCAGCGTGCCGCACGCCACGCCGGCACGGCGCGCCTGCCTGTGCCCAGCCTTTGCCTCCCTTGCCTGCTCTCCACCCCCGACCTCGCTGCACGCCTCATCCTCCTGCACCAGGGGCCCTCCCACCCTGCCTGCCGGTCTCTCTCTGAACCCCCGCTCACACCACTTTTACCTCCATTCCTCCCTCACCTCACCTCACCTCACCTCACCTCCCCGCAGCTTTGACAATGACGGCATTTACGACGACGACGACCACCTGCCTCTGCCAGAGGAGCGCGCCGTGGGAGGGCCGCGGGTGCGTCTCCTCCCGCCCGCCTGCCCGCCCACCCGCACGCACGCTTTGTCGGGCGGCCTCACGGCTGCACGGCTGCGGGGCGGTGGCGGGCGTGCTGCGTTCCGAAGGGCCTGGCTGTGTCCCCTCGGTCACGGCGTGGCCGCGGCGTGCGCTCCGCAACGATGCATGCACGCGCGAGCATTCGCACGCGCACACAGGCTTACACACCCGCGCTGCCCACCCCGCTGCGCCTGCAGGCCTACTTCCCGGCCGCGGCCTTTGACTGCATTGACACCAGCGCCAACGTGTGGGGCGGCGGCGGCGGCGGCGGGCCGGGCAGCCCGCGCGGCGCCGCCGGCTTTGCCACCCTCGCCCGCATGCACCAGAGCACCGACAGGCTGGACGCCATCGCACCCTGATGACGACGATGCGCCCTGCGGCTGCCCGCCTGCGGCCCCCGCAGCAGCCCACAGCGTTGGCCGCGGCCCCCGCCGCGCCCTCGGTCACCCAGGCGTGCCCCCAACCAACCCCACCGCACCCAACCTTCCCCATTCTTTCTTCTTTCCAGCCCTCAGCAGCGAGCGTCGCTCGCTGGCCAGCTCATCCCAGCGCCCAGCCCGGCGCAGCCGGCAGCACACCCCCCTCGCGTCTCCTCCCTGTGTGTCTCCTGTCCAGCCCGAGACTGAGTGAGATCTGACTGCAGAGCCTCTCCAGCCTGCTCCCCCTCCGACCGAATGCCTCCCCGCCCCGCCTGCGCATTCCGACCCTGAGCACAGCCCATTCTTTGCGCGACCTGTGCTGCCGGCTGCGCCCCCCCGCGGCCCTAGACCCCCTACCCCTCTCCTATCCCCCGTTCTCAGCCCTGCGATCCCGCCATGCCGCCGCCCCGCACCACGCCCATCGCCCGCGGGGCGCGCGGCGCAGTTTTGCCCCGCCTATGCCGCGGCAGGAGGCACGGCACGCCGCGCCTCCCTCTGTACCGCCCCTCGCCCCAATGCGCCACCCATAGCCTGCCAGCGACCCGTTTTCCGGATCCCTCCTCCCGCTCCTCCCCTCCGCAGCTGCGCATTTTCCTCAGTTTTGCCGCGTCCCGCTCCAGTAGCGCCAGCCGCCTGCTTGCAGCCCAATGGGGACGTATTGCCTCCTCCCCCGCCTGCCTCCCCCGCTTGCCTCCTCGCCTGCCTCCCAGTATGCGGCGCCGCGCCGTCCGAATCTCAGGCTTCTTCCTGTGAGGCTCCACACCCGTGAGACTCCGCACCCCACACTCCTTGCCTGAAATTTGAACTGGCACCATGCCGCTGGCACTGCCACCCGATTTTGAGCCTATCCTGTAGCGTTATCGTCCTGTTCCGTTTTGATCGTGCCGCCGCCCCGCTCCGTACCGCCCCGGCTGCATTCAGATGGATGGCCTTTTTCCCATCACCACTCACCAGCCCGAGAGTAGTGTCCCCGACTGCTTCCCGCCCCACACTTAGTGCCCATTGCTTGCCCTGCCTGCTTGCCCCTGCGCTTGGGCCTAACAACCCCAGCGCCCTGCCGCCCCCAGCGAGCTGTAGAGACGGCCCTCTGAATTTCGTGTGCCCCCTTCCGACCCCAATTTTGCGCGCCTTATTGCATATTTTTTCCTACCTGTAGACGAACGCTGTAGACGAAAGCAACCAGCAGAGGCGCCGCGGCGTGACACTAGCCCACTAGTTGGGAGTCGCAAGCAGGCACAGAAGCAGGAAGAGAGCAGCAGAATGAGCAACGCAACGCCCCGCCTGTGCCGCGCTTCATGAACCGCAAAGCCCCGCGGGCAGATCTGCTGCACCACTGGCGGCTGCCGCCGCATCCTGCCCGCTGCTGCTGTGCGGCGTGCTGCATGCATGTGCGGGATGGGCGGAAGGGAGGCGAGCGGGCACATGAGGAGGAGGGGTGCACATGGCACAGGAGCCTCCCAGGCGCCAGCTGGGCCAGGGGTGACTGCCAGGAGGAGCAGCGACGACAGTCGCTGTGTGTCTGCTGCATGGGCCACGGCAGCGTGGGGCTAGCACCCCGCCGTGGCGCGGCGACAGGCTGCGACTGGCGGGCGCGAGCGCCCGGAGCTGCCGGCCACCACTTGGTGCTGATCTCTCTTTGGCGAGTTCCAGGGACGTTGAATTACGAAAACTGACGACAAGTGCGGCGGAACACTCTGAAGCTGAGCGTTTTGGGCACCATGAGACAAAGGAAGCAGCAGTGGACTGCCCGGCAGGGTCAGGCGGCGAGGTCCGCCGCCGCCACCGCGCCCAGTAGCCGCTCCGGCGGCGCCAGCAGCGGCGGCGGCCGGCTGCTGCCCAGCTCCGGGCTGCCCAGCTGGCCGCATGCCGCCATCTGGTCGTCGCCGCGGCTGTCCCTCACCGTGGCTACGTGGCCTCCCTGCGGGGAGGCAGGCAGGGGGAGCAGCCAGGAGGCGGGTGAGGGCCAGGGTGGGGTGGCAAGACACCCCCGGTAAGGCACCCGCGGCAGCACTGCCACGAGCGCCGCCGCCGCGGCTGCGTGGCTGCTGCCGGCCTGCGCTGCTGCACAGTGTGGCTGTGTGTGTGTGGCTGTAAGGCTGTGTGTGTGCTGCTGCGGGCGGCGTGCCTGGATGAGGATGCTGCGGAAGGCGTACACTCGCTCGGGTGTGGAGGGCTGGAAGGAGGTGCCCGCGTGCGGGTTGAACACGATCAGGTTGATCTTGCAACGGATGCTCTGGGTCAGCTGCACCAGGCGCCGCGCGTCGTCGTCGCTGTCGTTCACGCCCCTGCACGCGCGCAGGGTGCGGCGGCGCGCGGCGGGGTGACGCTCAGGCGGGAGCGGGCGGCGAAGGCGCGCCAGCGGGGCGGAGGCGCAGCCGCCGAGCACATGGCGCTGCCCAGGCCCCCCAGGCCGCCTCCCTCACCGCAGCATGATGTATTCGATGAGCACGTGGTGGCCGTGGCGGGGCGCCGCACTCGACTTTGGGAACAGCTCCTCCATGCATTCGATGAGCGCCTGCGCTCCGGTGCGGTGCGGGGGGCGGGGGGGCTGAGTATGCGTGCACGTGGTGTGGCGCGTGTGTGCGAGGGAGAGGCGGCTGCGGGCCAGCCGGCAGCAGGCGGCGGGGGCAGGGCACAGGGGCCGGCGGAGAGCGGGGCATCCGGGGCCGGAAAGGGCCCCGGCCGGCAGCCGTGCGGTCACCCAGGCTGGTGGCCCTACCAAGCCACATGGCCCGCCCGCCCGCACCTGCAGCCCCTCCCTGCGGTTGACCGGCACGATCCAGTCCCGGACCTCATCGGTGGTGGCGTGCAGGCTGACCGCCATCACCGCGCGGCTCTCCCGGCTGAAGCGCCGCATCTCCGGAATCAAGCCCACAGTGGAGACTGTGATCTGCGGGCACAGGTGTGTGTGTGTGTGTGGGTGGCAGGCGTCAGGCAGGCAGGCAGGCGGCGGCGGTGGGCGCACGGCCACATACCGGCTGCCGCGGGGCCCGGCAACCCAGCACGCCACAGCACAGCACAGCACAGCACAGCACAGCACAGCACAGCACACCGCAGCAGTGGCGCGCCTTGTTGTGGCTGAAGTGCATGCCCAGCGGGCGGCACAGCGTGTCGATGGATGCGAGCACCGCGGGCAGGTTGTGCAGGGGCTCGCCTGGGGGTAAAGGGGGTGGGGGGCACGGGGCAGGCGGGCGGCTATGTTGGAGGCGACACACAGAGAGCAGGCCCCTCCGGACAGTAGCAACACACGCCCCTAACCACCCAACCGCCACCACCACCACCACCACCACAAAGCCACCACTCACCCCCACCCCCCTGCCACCACCACCACACATGCCCCTGTCTCTGCCGCCTGTT